TATATATAATATATACACGTAAAACTGATAGAAATTTAAGTACACTAACTAAAACAATCGCAAGACAAAGAAAATCTGAAAAATTCGTTGTAAAGTAGATAAAAATGCGTTTGAACAAAAGTGAAATAGTAGACAGCGTTAGACGTCTACAAAAGTAGACTAACAATGGAGTCTACAAAAGAAGATTTCGTATGAAGTATAAATTTTAGGTTACTTTTGTAATTGCCAATTAGATGAGTAGACTTCTTCAAAAAAAATATAACAATTAAATATAAGTTTTAAAATATTTTTAACATTTTAAAATAACTATAACAATTGAAACTAATATTAAATATGTGATTTTTTATTGTCTATGAATATGTGTATTCAAAATTTTATAATATTACTTTAAAAAATATTAAACTTTTATCAATATTTTTACTTTTTTACTTTATATCAAATATTTTCGTTTAATTATATATTATTAGCACGCATAAAAATATAAATAACCAGATAAAGGTATATTTATATTATTTAATTTTATATAACTATATAAGTCAACGAGATGTAAAATTTCACACGAGGCACGGATCACATCCTAGTGACACATAATAAAAATATAATGTCAAACATTGACCTCTTGGAAGGAAAATTATGCAAATAGAGCATTATTAACTTATAGATATTTTCTCATGACGAGTAATTAATTATACAACTAAAAATATATTATTAAATTTAAAATTTTTTAAATGTTAAAATTTTTGAATTAGAGAAGCAATATTAACTATAAATATATGATAGCTTGCTATTTTAGATCATTTTAGGGTGCATTTCATGTATCTTTTTCTCTGTTTTTGCATTATAGTTTAGCATTTTAGTATCATTTGCACTTAGAATCAACATGGCACGCATTTAGCTTAGGATTGCATATATTTGCATACATGTGCACGTTTATGGTTGTTTTGAGGTATTTTTGGAGTTTCTTGGAGCCGGAGAGGAGATGGAAGCAACTCATGATCAAAGAATATGTCAGAAATGGAGTTCTTACAAAGTATGGTCTATATCAAGCAAGCATATCGAGCAGAACACCCGTGAAGTATGCTCGGTGCAAGCAGCAGGACGAGAGGAAAAAGATCAGCACGAGGATTCCAAGCTGTTGGTCTGCATCAAGGATCAGCATCGAGGAAGGACGTCGATACGCGCTGCACGGACCATATCGAGGTTGGATATCGAGCAGAACATCGACCCTACGACCTCGATGCAACTCATCTGCGTCGACCACTTGACTTTTGTTAACCTTATCCCATTTTTTAAGGTTTTTTATGCTTGTTTTGGCTCTCTACTATAAAAGAGAAGCCACAAAACATTATTTTTATTAAGTTCTATCTTATCCAAGTTTAGCTTTCTATCAAAAACCTTCTCTAAACCTTAAAGGATGATTTGCCTTAAATATCTATATATTTAATAAAGTTTGCATTTTTATGGTTTAATCTTGTCTTTTATCTTTGTTCTTGCATCTTGGTAGATTTAATTATCATATTTGCATTTTAGTCTCATCTAGTTATGTTTAACTCCAAATCAATGGGATTAAACATGATTAGTGAGTAGTTTACTTTAGATTTAGGGTTCTAAGTAGGGAAAGTGGTGATTAAGATGTGGTTAAGGGGTGATTAGGCTTGTTTAAAGGTTCTCTGTTATCTCCTTCTCTTGGAAAGTGATTAATGTTGATAAAGCTTGCTGCTTTTGACTGAAGATGGTTTGATAGATGCATATGGTTCGCTTGATGTCTTGTAACTCTTTTCTAAGCATGGTTCGCTTATTTGGCTTGATAGTCTAGCTTAGTTTATGTTTCCTTTGTTCAATGACACCAAAGTGATAGTTCACTACAACTAGACGATTTGCTTAGGGCTAGATAATGTTGGTTTTGAGATTCTTGCTTGATGGTTAGATAGTATGCATTGAAAGATCTTGCCTTTGCTTCATTCTTGTTCATTGCTTAGCTTTGTTAGGATGCTGCAAGTTTGTGCTTAAATCCATAATCTTGATTGGTGTATAGCTGTCTAGGTCCTTATTGGTTCACAAGATTGATAAGTTGATCTGAATTCTTGCTTGGGTGAGAGATTGTTTGCTTGATTGGTGCATCTCTTAGGCTAGAATTGTTCTGATCTTTATGCTCATGGTTGAATGATACGCCATCACAAGTGGGTCTGACACTTCGATCTTGTTGAATATGAATTGCTTATTGACGCCAAGTGGTTCCCTTTAGATACCTTGTCTAGGAGCATAAGATTGAGAATTGCTTGCTTTGTTAATGCTTGTTGAAAGCCTTAGTAGAAATCCCCTTGTCACTCTTGATAATCACTATCTCACAATTGCTTAGAACCTTGAGTCTTGCTTTTAATTAATTGTCTTTAAGATCATCTTTCTTAATTCTTGCTTTAGTAGTTATTCTTGCTTAGTTCTTGTTTAATTATTGCTTTAAGTTCATTGCTCAGTTTAGTACACTTGTATTTTCTGTTCTGCATTCCTTTCATCATTAGGTTGTTAGACTTGTTCTTGCATAATCAAATTCCCAATCTTGCTTAGCTTACAGCATTGTTTGCAGGACATTTGAGTTTAGACCCAAAAAGTTGGGTACCAAATTGGTGTCGTTGCCAATTGTGGATTGTTTGAGTTTAACATTGTTGTTAGGCTAAGTTATTTACTTTAAAAGTTACTAATTTGCTCTGTTTTCTGTACTTTGTTTTTTAGGTACTTGTATGAATTTGAGGTCTAAAGGCTCATCAAATCTGACTCCCTTCATTGACAACATTCATAGGAGAAGAGCTGTAAGACAGAAAGTTCAAGAGTTAGAAGAACAGAGGATGGCAGAGCAAGAAACTCAGTTACCACATGTTGGTGTTGTTGGACAAGCACCATTACAACAACCTGCAGCACACATAGATGAAGCACAAGAAGCTTTGAATCAAGTGGCTGGAGTTCAGGGATTGTGAGTACCAGTTCTCGCACCTAGAGCTGCAAGACCAATAGGAGCTGGTGATGCGCCTGATACTCACCACAACAGGAATGGCATTCACGCTCCAGCTGTACATCAAAACCACTTCAAGATCAAGCTTGGGTTGATCAACATGGTGCAAGGCAACATATTGCATGACCTGCCCAATGAAGACCCTTTGGATCATCTAGACCAGTTTGATAAGGTGTGTGAAATGACCAAGATTTAAGGAGTCTCTGAAGATGCTTTGAAGCTGCACTTGTTCCCTTTCAGTTTAGGTGACAAAGCACATCAGTGGGAGAAGACACGTCCACAAGGTTCATTCTCTACATGGAATGAGTGCAAAACAACATTCTTCAACAAATTCTTCAGTTCAACAAGAACAGCAAAGCTCAAGAACACCATAAGCAGCTTTACTCAGCATGGGAATGAGACATATTCTGAAGCATGGGAGCGCTTCAAGTCCTACACTTTGCTGTGCCCTCATCATGGGTTCACAAATGAGAGCTTGCTGTCTACTTTGTATAGAGGAGTGACGCCAAAAGTACAGAATGCTTTTGGACACAGCATCAAATGGAAATTTCATGGGCAATTGTAGATGGTCTAGATCTTGTGGAGAACTTGGCACTTTATGCTGGAAACTATGTGAATAATATGACAGAACATCTAGAGCAGTTGTAAGCGCTGAAGGTGAGAGCACAACAGAAAAGGAGATTAAAGCTTTGAATGACAAGTTAGACAGGCTGCTGAGTGTGTCTTTAAAGAATGTCAGTTTTGTTGGGGATAGTGTTGCTACACAAGAAGAAGATGGGACATTTGTAGAAAAAGAAGCCTTCTACATGAATCGACAAGGAGGCAGTTTTAACAACTACAGGAACCATCCCAACTTCTCTTATAGAAGCACCAACGTGGCTAACCCTCAGGATCAAGTCTATCCATCACAAGCTGCTCAACAAAACCAATGAGCCAAACCTTTTTGTTCCTTTCAACCAGCAGAACAACTTTGCTCCAAAACCACCTTGTCAGGGGGGTTTCAATAAGCTAACTTTCAGCCAAGAGCAGCTTTTATCCCACCAGATTTTGGCAATACACAAACCTCTTCTAGCACTCAAGATGTTGATTTGAAGCAGATAATGCAACAGTTGTTGACTGGTCAAGCCAACACCACTATAGAGCTGCACAAGAAGTTTGCTGAAATGCATAACAAGATAGACTCCACTACTTGTGACCTGAATGGCAAGTTAGATGCTCTGAACCAAAGAGTCAAGTCTCTAGAAAGCAAAGACGCTTCATCTTCAAAACCTCAGAATCAAATACCAGGAAAGAGTGAAGCAAATCATAAGCAAATCGTAATGATGGGAGTTACCAGACAACGATGGGAGTTACCAAATACCAACAGTATTTAAGGAGAAGCCAAGATCTACTTCATCTTAACACAGGAGGAGTGAAGAGAACATATATCTATAGATGTGTATATAAATTAAAAAAAAAACCCCCACTTCTTTGTTGTTAAAATCAGAGGATCAACTGAGAAAGAAAGAGAAAAGAGACATAACCTAACGACCGCCGTCTCCACTAATACCTATAGTTAGGGTTTCATGACTTTTACTAGGTTTTTGAGAAAACAGATTATTGCAATAATTTTGTAATTTAAAACTGTTACTAGGTTCCACAATTTTCTTAAGGTATATAAAGTTAAGTTGGGAGTGTAGAATTAGGACTATCTTGAAGTGAATTTCATATATATCTATACACATATTTTATGAGAAATCTGTAAGATTCTCTGGTGACATGCTAGTTAGAACTTGACAAACGAATAAAGCAACTCTAGAGAAAAAGAGAGACTAACCAACAATATGAAATCATGTGAAAGTGGCATGCTCCAATATCAACCTTTTCTAAAATTTCAACTCGTGCATATGATCTTAAAATGACACCATAAACTCCGTATTCAGCTATTATAATAAACGCACAAAAAGATATAGTTTTATATATATGAAAACCAAACGAAAAACAATCAAAATACCTCAAGAAAGATGTTTGTCGTTGCGAGAACATGAACTCCCATAAAAGCTCTCATATTAGCAATCACCATGGCAAGTGGATTGCAACTATGCCGATCATAACTCCGATTATAATGAAGTTTTACCTCTTTAAGTACATTCACTCTTGAAAAGTCAATCATCCTGACATATCCATCATACTTGTAGCATTCAAGAGTGGGTGCATCCAAAAATATCTTCAAGAGATTCAGCATAGAATACACGACCAACAACTTGAACTTCATATTGTTTTGAGCGTTGATTCTCAATACCCCGAACATTCGACAGTTGATTAGTTCAAGCGTCTCGAGGTGGATGCAGTTGTTGAAGATTGCATCTAGCGTCTTTTTTGTCACCTTGGTCCTCATTAACACCAGCGTTCTCAGTAACTTAAGACCCTTGGGAGAGTTCTCAGATATCTCAAACTGACACCATTTTAGCTTCAAGACTGTTAGCGTCTGGATGGCCACCAAGTCGATTGGAATCTCTATAACTTTCCTAGATTTGGAAAAATCTAACTCCAGCTCTTGAATATTTTTACTCACGCATGTTTTGATCCACCTGAGGATCTTATCTATAAGAAAGGTGAAAGAGATGATTTTGATTATACTCTGTATTGTAACATTTATACATGGATGCTCGAAGTAAGAAAGGGAAGGCAATATTGGATATTTACACAGAGTTATATGATTGCATAAGTCACGGCAATCAGTGATTCTTCTTTATCTCTAATACGCCCCCTCAAGATGGAGGTGCTTGCGAAACTCCAATCTTATGTCGTAATGGCGTGAACTGCAATCTTGAGAGAGGTTTAGTAAGTCCATCTGCGAGCTGGTCATGAGTCGAAACATGTGCTACTCGTAATCTCCCATCCTGAACTTGCTCACGAATAAAATGATAATCTAGCGCAATGTGTTTCATTCTAGAATGAAATACAGGATTTGCACATAGATATGTGGCGCCTATATTATCGCAATATATGACTGGAGGGATGTTGCAAGATAATCCCATTTCAGATAATAGAGAACACACCCATCGAACTTCAGAAGCTGTGTTGGCGACTGCTCTATATTCAGCTTCTGTTGAGGATCTTGCGATGCCTTTTTGTTTTGTAGAGGACCAGGAGATTGGTTGATCACCAAGATAGACGATGTAGCCATTTGTTGAAATATAGTATGTGGGATCCCCTGCCCAATCTGCATCCGTAAAGGCGTGAACACTGAGATTGCTTGATCGGCTAATAAAGAGACCATGTGTCGCAGTTCCTGTCAAGTATCGTAGTATCCTTTTAGCTGTTTGCCAATGATCGGTGGTGGGAGTTTGCATAAACTGTGAGAGCTTGTTGACAGCGTAAGCAATATCTGGACGTGTAAACGCCAAGTATTGAAGACTCCCAACCAGTTGTCTAAACTCTGTCGGGTTTGAATATGGTTCGCCTTGTTTTGTAAGCCGAGGAGATGATGCCATTGGGGTTGCAACAGATTTAGCATCCTGCATATTCATCTTTGCCAACAAATCGTGAATGTACTTACGTTGATTCAGGTGGAGACCTTTTGGTGTACGAACTGCTTCAATGCCCAGAAAGTATGAAAGATTGCCCATGTCTTTAACAGAGAAACGAGTGGCAAGGTTAGTGATAACTTGTTCGACAGCTTTGTTGTTGTTACCGGTAACAATGATGTCATCTACATAGACAAGAGCATAAATCAGAAGTCCCTGTTGCTGAAGTATAAACAAAGAAGTGTCGGCTAGAGAGCTTTTGAATCCGGCAGAGACAAGATACCCTTTTAGCTCCATGTACCAAGCCCGAGGTGCTTGTTTAAGACCATATAGTGCCTTTTGCAATTTGCAAACATAGTCCGGTCTATCTGAGTCGACAAATCCAGGAGGTTGGCGGACATAGACTTCTTCATTCAGTGTTCCTTGAAAAAAAGCATTATTAATATCGAGTTGTCGAAGACACCAATCTTTACTTACAGCAACTTTGAGGACAGTGCGGGTTGTAGTGGACTTGATAACAGGGCTGTAAGTCTCCTCGAAATCAATTCCTTGTTGTTGATTGAAACCTCTTGCGACAAGTCTAGCTTTGTATTTATCTAGCGATCCGTCCGGTAATAGCTTGATTCGAAATACCCATTTGGTGTCGACGATATTCTGATGAGGCGATGGCGGTACAAGATCCCATGTGTGAAGAGTAATTTGAGCATCGTACTCTTTCGACATCGCCTTACGCCAATGTTTTTCCTTGAGCGCTTGCTGGTGTGTGCGAGGTTTGATCTCAGTGAATGAGGGTTTTGTGGCAAGCTTGGCGTATTTTGGGTTGGGTTTAATTATATCATTTTGGGCTCGGGTTCTCATACGATTGTCATTGGGAAGTTGGTTATTTTTGGTTTGCTGGTTTGGTTGAGTAACGGGCTGAGATTGGGTAATGATTGTGTTTGGGTTTATTTGGGTTTGATTATTTGATGGGCTTGGATGGGCCTGATTTGGTGAGTTGGAGGTATTTGTCGGGGGCTGCGATGTTGAAGAGCTTTCGGCCGTTGGTGATGGCGAGAGCGGTGTCGACGGTGATAGAGGGACATCAGATGATGATGTCGACTGTGATGCCGTTGGGTTCGGCTGATCTGCTGTTGACGAAGGAGTCTCCGATGGTGAAGAATCTGAGTTGGGGGAGCAAATTGGCGACGTTGGCGGAGCCGAGGGTTGAGCATTTTTGAGTGGCGACGGAATGGTGGTGAGGAGCGGATATGAGGAGTAGGAGTGTTCTATTGGTGAGGAGATTTTGGAGCAAGTCAGTGTTTGGTATGGAAATTTTGTTTCATCGAAGCGGACGTGTCGGGATATGTATATGCGATTTTGAGTTGGGTCGAGGCAAATGTATGCACTTTGGGTGAGAGAGTATCCTAGAAGTACACACGGTTTGGATCTTGGTTCGAGTTTATAGGTTGTGTAGGGACGGAGCCATGGAAAACAGAGACATCCGAATATACGAAGTTTGCTATAGTTTGGGTCTGTTTTGAAGAGAATTTTGTAGGGGGATTGTAGGGAAAGGGTAGGTGTTGGCATACAGTTGATTAGGTAGACTGCAGCAGAAAAAGCGTAGGTCCAGTAGGTATTTGGCATTGAAGCTCGAGAGAGGAGAGTTAAGCCAGTTTCGACGATGTGGCGATGGCGACGTTCGGCCATTCCATTGTGTTCTGGGGTGTGGGGAGGAGAAGTTAAGTGAGAGATGCCTTTGGAGGAGAGATACTCGCGGAGAGCAATGAATTCTCCACCATTATCTGAAAATAAGGTACCAATTCTTCTTTGAAAACGATTTACAACTAAGTTAGTGAAACGAATGAATGTTTCACGAACCTGTGATTTTAGTTTAAGAGGAAATAGCCAAACATAGTGAGAATAATGATCAACAATTACTAAATAATATTTGTAATTATCGATGGAAGTTTTTGGAGAGATCCATAGATCTGTAAAAAGATATTGGAGAGGAAACGTAGATGAGATAGTGGTTTGAGAGAAAGGAAGTTTTTGACTTTTATTTAAGAGGCAATCACTGCAACAAAGTGTTTGTGAAATCGAATCTGAAACTGGTAAAGAAAAATTTGAAAGAATGCTTTTTAAGATAGATGATGATGGGTGGCTGAGTCTTGCATGCCAATCAATGACAGTGGTTTTGTGGTTTGTGGTTGATGTATGGTAGGTTTGTGGGAGGGATATTGGCCACTCATAGAGCTCATCCTTGGTGCGGTCTTGAAGTAATTGGACCCCCGTTTTCAGATCCTTCACCTGAAAGTAAGATGGAAAAAATGTACCGATACTTGATTAGTATTGCATAGTTTAAAAACTGATATGAGGTTCTTTTTAATTGCAGGTACACATAGAACATTGGACAGAGAGAGAGGACGTGGAGATGAGGGTAAGACTATTGAACCAGTATGTGTAATAGAGAGTCCATTTCCATCGCCAATAATCACTTCGTCACCGCCATTGTATGGTTGATGTAGGGATAAATTTCCAAGATCTGAGCAGATGTGATGTGTGGCGCCAGAGTCGAGCAGCCACGGTTGAGTGCTTGGAGAACCTCCAGCAGCAAAGTTGGCACGAGGTTGCCACGGAGAAGGTGATGGTAGAAGACCAGTTTGCTGGTGGGAGAATTGGGGACAACGCCTGGCGCTATGTCCCTGGACATTGCAAATTTGACACTTGCCCAAGTATGGTCGTGGTTGCCATGGCTGGTTTGGATTGTCGTTTGTTGAGCGAGGTTGTGATTTCCAATGTTGATTATGATTGTTGTATTTCTGTGGTGGTTTGAACTTGTTGTTGGCAACATTGGCGGAGACAGGAAAAGTGGTCGATGGTTCTGCCGTAACAAGTTTAGCCTCATGGTTAAGGAGCTTTTCATGGAGTTCTGAGAGAGTTGGAGGAGCATCGCGTCCCTCAACTTGATCGACGACGGACTTGTAATCGTGGGGTAAATCTTCGAGAATAAACTCGATTTGGTCTTCTAAATCCACGGGTTTGCCAAGGATGACAAGTTGATCGAAGCGTGTTGTGAGTCCTTGGAAGTACTCATCAATCTGCTTGTTTCCTTTCTTCCATTGTTTGATTTGATGCTTCAATTCTTTTATATGGCCCCTGCTTGGTTTCGCGTAGTTGGAGGCGAGGAGCTCCCAGATCTCGGCTGTTGTGTTGGTGTTTGACAGAATTGGTTGGATCGCTGGGCTAATGGCGCCAAGGAGAGCACTGTATAATAGCTTGTCTTGGCGGTTGTGATGCGTGTAGGCTGGATTTTCGGTTTGTGCTCCGTTGTTGGTGATAGTCGGAGCTGGGGCTATTGTTGAGGCATCAAGGAAGGTCGATAAGGCATAGCCATCGAGAAGGGCATGTATTTGCCGCCTCCACATGATGTAGTTGGTAGTGTTGAGACAGGTGACGTTTGTCATGTTAACGTGAAGGAGGGATCCTTGAGTTGCAGGGAGAGTTTCGGTGTTGGTTGCTACACCGTTGTTGTTGAGAGAGGCGCTGGAAGACATGCTGTTTGAGATTGTAGAGAAAAAGAAGAGAAGAGAAAAAAAAATCAAGATTTGCAGGTAGAAGAGATTGGTATTGATTTAGGCTCTGATACCATATAAGAAAGGTGAAAGAGATGATTTTGATTATACTCTGTATTGTAACATTTATACATGGATGCTCGAAGTAAGAAAGGGAAGACAATATTGGATATTTACACAGAGTTATATGATTGCATAAGTCACGGCAATCAGTGATTCTTCGTTATCTCTAATATTATCCTCTATGCCGATATGATTAAAAATCAGAACAAATTGGTTGATCTCTGATCCTTTGTTTTTTTCAAAAATACCTTCGATGATACGTACAACTGCTAATTGACTGCGCCTCTTAGAGTATATTTTGCTAAAATCAAGGTATCGGGATCGAATTTGTGCGTGCCTAAATCTTTTGGACACAGCACGACTTCTCAAAGCATCTTGGATGGGAAGACAATTCGACAGGATGTGATCTACTACATCTTCACGCATATTTTTGGG